GTAAAGAGCAAAACATTATAAAACAGGATAACCGATTGCTGTGCAAGTAGCACGTCCTGACCATAGTCATGAAAAACTGCAAACAGATTTTGTCTATGATTTCTTCAAATTGGTGTTAATTTTTTTGCGAGTTGTGATGATAGAACTAAACACACGCATATGTTAGTGGGCTAGGCAATATCGACACCTTTTGTCTTCAAAAACTGATTGATAGGCAAACAAAATTTTTTGAAATTTTCTTAATTTTCTATCTTTTTGCCCAACCAGTTTCGTTGAACTAAAGCAAGACTGATACAGCTTTTTGAAACTTTGTGAAAATGGATAACAAAAAAGAAACACACTCGAACACAAGGTTACTTACCAATTTCAAAAGTAGGGTAGAAATCGGGAAGGAGTTTTCGATTCAAATTGACTATTTGCGAATCCACAGTCACCACAGGTACTCCCCCTTTTCTACTGTGTTATAGCTGTGGACACAAATCACGACATTAACCACGATCCGGCGAAAAGCTTAAGCTAGTTGTCAGACCAAATTGGCCCATCAAAGGATTAAGCAAATTCCACCTTGGATTGTGCTCCTTCCGACTCTTTTCTTGCCTTTTTAGCTAGTTCAGCAAATCAGGGGCACAATGTGTAGAAACTTTTTTAATCATGAAAATAATTTACAAAGCCCGTAATGAGCTAACTACTATTAAACTAAATCTATTACAAGGCTATTGTTTCGTTCCGTTTGACCACAGTCTCGATAACTTGCTCTTCAACAATGCTTGACTCAAAACCAATCTCACTAACTCCAGAAGGGTAACTTGATCACCAACTAACCTCACCCGGTACCTAACTCAGGTCTAAAACGAATCAACTGACTCATCAGTTACATCAACAACTTTTTCAACTGCAACTACCCGGAGTCCTACCTCTAATTTGTGCTATTCAAATCACTTGTTGAATAATTAACTGAGTTTTAGCTGGTTTTTTTTCCAATCTTCTCAGCTTTTGCACTCTTTTTAACTGAGCACCAACTAAACTCTCGATCAGAAGTAACCGATCTACCCAAGACTAGGATATATGTAATCCCTTTGTGTTGTTTGTATATTTGAATTTTAGCTCCATTTAGAGATATGATCCTCGGTAGATGTCCTGACGTTTAAACTGGTAAACTGCGCAAGGTCTTAGCCAGTTTTATCCACTGACGAGATTAGTTATAGATTCCAAGTTTATTACAGGGATCCAACAAGGTTGTGCAAATATCAAATCCAACTTCATTTTAAACCCCAGTTAAGCTTGCTTTACCAACGTACCAAATGTTTTATATAGTTATCCCGGGAGCCTTCCGGCAAGGAGGAAGTCTTTCTCAGACAGCTACTTCCTTTTAGGCTTCCAAACTTGCCATCTGCAATCTGTTTCAATCCAGACTATCTAGCTATCAAGGGAGGATAGGTTGTGTACTACGAGTCCAGTTGTGCCAAAGAGCCACATCTGGGGTGCTAAGTCAGCATCACGTCAAGTTTTCTTTTTCACATTTAGAAGACTGAAATCCCAAATCCCACTCATTTTACAGTCAGTTTCCACAAGGACTTTTGTTTGTGGTCTCTTTGAGTCGTTGCAACTCAAAAACTATTTTCAGTTATGTTTTGAGTGCTTCCCAATTGGACATTTTTCCTCTCTATTACGAGCAAGAGAATTGACACAAAAAGATCATTTCAGCGTCACTATGAAACAATCTCCTAAATTTAGGATAAGGGTCACAAAAGAGTGCTATCTACCAATTTTCATCCATATCCCGTTAGATCTTCCCAAGTTATCCTTACTAGAAGTCTTTTGTCGGTGTTGGTCTCTAGTGTCTTTTGCCGCCATTAAATCAATATGCTCTTGCTCATTATTTTGCGTAAGTTGTATACTTTCAGTATAGTGACTGTTTCATCCAAGTCCTATTAAGTTCTAGTCCAACTGAAGAATTTACCTCGAGTTGTAAAATATGATGCATCTCTTCACTACTTATCGTATTCCAACGTTTCGGCTTCTTGCGTTCCTTGAGTGCCAGAAAACGTCTTCCGGAAGTCGGGTGAGAGAGTATTTCCTCAAAAAAACAGAAGTGGGCGTCCAGGTGTTCTGGTATTCTACACTTCTGGTTTCCACAACTAGGTCTATAACATACTAAATGTTGGTCTCATTCCAAACAACCACTAGAGGTGCTGAGGTCTTATAGGGGGAGTTGCAATACCCGGAACTAATATCACTTGGGCCAAGGAGGACTGAAAGTTCTGGTTTTTTCAATGCCTGAATTAAACCGTCTTTAGTATGTGGCCTATGAGTTTCATGTTTTAAATTCAGTGGGACCGATTTGGGGGTTGCACCAATTTCACTTCATTTGGAGTTTCAGCCATAGAGGGAATATTTTTTTAAACTGGAGCTATTTTGAGCTCGCATTTTTGTTTGTTCTACAACTTAACTTATTTTTTACAAAGCTACCTAATACTCATTTAGCTTTATTAAACTGCATGCAAATCTCAACGCAAAACTCTCTCAGTTTAATTTGTAGTGTGCTGAAAATGCATAGGAATCACCGATCCCACAAGTCTCAATCATCATTTAACCTGAGATTAATACTTAGAGTAAACTATGAAGCTCGAGTTTGAATTAAACAAAGTTGGGTTAGCATAAATAAACCTTCGTCTGATAATTATAACACCAACAACTCCAACAAATTAATCGCGGATCAAATATCTTTTTTTGTTTGAGCCCAGGGCTTTGGTTACTTTTCCAATGGTTTGAAAAAACTCTTCAAATGATGTTAAATTGTGTCAAACCAGCACTACACTTAAAAACAACTACCTCTTGCATATACAGTCCGTTTTTGTTTGTCAAAAGCCGGAAAAATGAAAGGCTACAAAAAAGACATTTGAAAAAAATGAGACTGCTAAGCGTCACCTTTTTGGAAACGCTCTGCAGGTTATTTTGTGGAGAGTGACAAGAACCAGTTTGATAACCATTTGAAAACCTGTTCAACAAATGACTGAAACAAGCCTGGGCAAACCAGCCAAGTTTGTAGCAATTTAGAGAATTGTGTTGAAATCTGTTTGATTTTTCTAATTGGTACAGGCATTTAATATAAAAACTTAGTATTTAGTATTTAAGGCTTATTTTACAGAAGCTGATATAAACTCCACGGGTTTGGACCCAGTAGTGGATTTAGGGGGGACGCACCGTCCCCCCTCGCCCTCGAGGATTCGACCCCCTGCCGAACCAAAGGGTCCCCCTTTTATACTATTTTGAGATGAGTGAGGTACCCTACCTCTTTTTGGTGAGGTACCCTAACAATTTTCCAAAGGCGCCTTTGGAGCCAATATTTACTGATTTTTGAGGGGGGAGCGCGCGCCGAAAAAACGCGCGCCGAAATAACTTTCCAAAAAATTAGCCTGAGGCGCAGAAAATTTGGTCAAAATGTGATATTTATAGTGATTCGGGAGTGCTCAGAAAATCAATTTGGTCGATCTAAAAAAGAAGTAGAAAAATTTTTCGAAGTATTTTGAAAATCCGCCCACCCCTCGAGAAAATCCTAGACCTGCCCCTGTTTGCACCATCAAATCAGGTGAATTGTAAACCAGCCGACACTTCTGAACAGGAATAATTGTTCAAAGTTTTGTATAAATAATAGATAAGGTTTAGCCTTTTTTTGAACCCGAAAGAAGTTATCGACTGCTTGAGTTCAAAAAAAACGGGAAAACGGTTGCGATTTGTTAATCGAGGATTTGATAAGGTGCTAGACTAATTTATGGCTTCGAAGATCTTTTTAAGATGCCGAAAATTTAACGCGAAATGTTTAGGCGTAGCAAAATATCCCGTTCTCAAAATTGTTCCAAATTCATTTAAAGACAGTCATTTTTTTTTTAAATTCCGTGTGCAACTCAATGTTTAACTGTTTTACGATTGATATTGCAGATCGAAAGTTCATAGTTGTTCAAAATTTTAACCAAAACTATTTGAGACTATTTACAGGGCTGTCAGAACATTCTGGACGTTGCCTTGATATAAGGGGGCGTTGCTTAAATGAAAGGCGTCGCCCAAATATTATAAAAGGCAAATTTCAATAAAATGACGTAACTTTTGGTTGATACAATCTCATTTTCGATAAGCTCATTTTCGATTTGCTTATTACATTCGTCTGGTATATTCACACTGGCTGTTTGCGTTCTGTAAAAAAACCGTGCCTGGTTTTAGTCTTTTTATGACCACTGATCCATAGATAGGATTGTTTGTTTTATGGCACTGAGTCTCATTGACCATAAATCATAAATCAAGAGGCGGTTTGGATTTGAATCTGAAAAAAGCAGACATGACGACTACTCTTTCACTGAACGGTAGAAGGTAAACAAAACAATGAATTGAGACGATGGCGCTAATTTGTGGTTTGATGATTTTGTCTAAAATGAGGAGGCAGCGTCCAAAAGCTTCTTGTTCAGCTACTTCTATTCAAGGTTTTTTGTTGCGTACATAAAATGAAGAATTTATGACGTGGAAGGCTTGCTGGAGCACTCGGATAATAAAAATTAAATCTAAAACAGTTAAATACATTTTCTTCCGTTTGAAATGGTAGAAAACTGTCCTCTAAAGTCTATCAAAACACAATCTTGATTAAAAAAAAACATATCAAATAAGTATCCGGTCTAGCATATCATCCCCCCCACCCCAACACCACCCCCACCCCTACCCTCACCCCGCCCCATCCTTCCTCGAAATTAAACTCTAAACTCTATAGCTTCCTCTCCGCTACTTTATTTAAATTTAAAAAGTGCTCTGCAAAGAACGTAAAAAACAGTCCTGGCATCCATTGACGAATAATGCCGACTTGAAACCTAGTAGTCACTAGCTGCTTAGTAAATTGATCCAATCTAGAATGTTCTAGAAACGACTAGGCCTGTTCTTCAAGTTGTTTTGTCCTCAGATGAGCTGATGAATTTTTTCCTCCTTAGTTTGGTCAACCCATTTTTAAATTGTTTCAGCCTGTGACGCCGGCACATTTGGACCAGACTGTTCCCAGAAGTGCCACTGTGCCAACGGGACAACCTGCGAGCCGGACACTGGCAAGTGTCCCGGAGATAGATGTGCAGAAGGATACGCGGGAACTAATTGCCAAACAAGTGAGTGGTTTGAGTCAAATTCCATTTAAAAAACCTTTGATGAATTTGGGAGCTCTCTTCGGAAATGCAAACTATTCAGTTTGTAAACTGCTATTATTTATCAATTTAATTTTCAAATATGATCGGTTTAATTTTCAAAACAACCCAATTTTACTGTTCAATTTCAATTTTATTTTGTTTTCATTCCAATTTTATTTTAGTTTTTGATTTCAAGTTCAATACAACTTTTTCTGTTTTGCGCAAAAAAAACAATGTTTAATTTTCTAGGCACGATTGCACGAGTTGGCCATTTCTACAACAGGAGAACGAATCCAGGGGCTTCCACCCGATTCCTGTGCTCCATCCAAACCCCCCAGAAGATCCACCACACCAAAGTCACCCTCCGATCCCCCAACGGACAGACCTACTTGAGTGTGGCCGATCTGAACCTGCTGGGGTCGGGGGTGGAGTACCCGAGCAACTTCAACTTTGACCTCAAGTGGACCGAGCCTGGAGTTTACTCTTGCATGCTTGATGACAAGGAGCTTGCTTCTACTGAAATCAGATATTTCGGTGCGTATCTGCGGTTTTGTTTCGAAGGTTGTCGTGAATTGTTGATGCATTTTTAGCAAAAAAAAAAACAGGAATTATGGTAACAAAAGTTTACAAAACGTGAAAAATTGCGTTTGACTCCAAGTTGACATTTTTCTTGTACTCTTTTTTATGGTTTTCCTGACTTCCCATCAGAAAGCCAAACTAAAATGTAACTATTTTATTTATGGAGTAGCTGAAATAAACTTCTCAATAAAAATAGCATCCAATCCACAATCACACTTCGTTTTCGTTTTATGACTTAGAACTATTAAACTCTAAAACAACCTTTCCATGTATTATTTCACTAATTTACCCCATGTGTGCCAAAGTACCTAACTGAATAAATGGGGCAAAATATACAAAAGTAGGGCACAATTCCTCAGACAAATTCGACCGAAGTGGTCGCCCATGGCACCCAGTGGAGTTCGATGCTATATTGGCGGTGTCAAATTCCTGTGACAAATTAGCCCTCTAATCACTGTCACCTGTACCCCGAGTATCTTAATTCAGAATAGGTGGTAAACTAATGCCATAATCAACGTGAGCTTATTCTGCTTTAATCAAACCTTTTAAGACTGCTCTGAATTGACTTTTAAAGACAGTGTTTGTCTTAAATGAAAGTTGCCTGAATCTTCCCAGCTAGCTTCGTGAACATTTGCTTTGTGAACATTTAGTTGTTTTTTTTTGCTTGAATTGAAAACTAGTTGATCAAATTTCACGAAAATTTTATTTGTATGCTTACAAACACCTTAGATGATTAATCTTTGATATAAGATTAACTTGAACTTATATATATGTAAACCTTTCGACATGCATCGAAAAAACAGGAGAATGTCATGAAGGCCAGACATGTCTCGTATGATAATATATGAGTATCAAGTCTAAAATTTAACATTTCGTTGGTTCTTATCAGACCTAGACTGATAAACCTAAATTTAAAAAAAGCTTATACAATTCCACATTTGGAGTTTATGGAAAATGGTTATCCTGCTATTTTCAATTTTAGCGAATATTTTGAAGAATTTTGAAACAACTTTTTGTCTAATTGACGGTTGTGAAGCTTTTCAGTCTTCAAAAAATGATAAGCATTTTTGAATAAAAACATGCGAATCATAAAAACTTAACGTATGAAAACTGACATGAAATTGTTACAATCAGAGGCATGAAACTTTTTGCCTGGTCATTAAAAATTTTTAAGGATTGGATGGAAAAATGTGTCTCACGTAGTTTGCAAGTATGAAAACTGTACGAAAAAAAATAACTGAAAAACTAAAACCATTTTTTTTGGGTAATTTTGAAACAGCCCAACAATGTTTTTGTTAGCTGGGGGCACTTTGATTGTCCTAAGCGTGTGTTTTTGTTATTCCTTGTTACACTTGTATTTTTTTTAACGTTTTTTTACAAAAATCATACACTTTTTTCAACGAAAAATGTAAGATCAGCAATTTTCCATCGGAAAAATACATCAAAATTGAGGAAAAAGCTTAAAAATTTTTTGCAAATTAATTTGTAAGCTCAAACACGAGCTTTCTGAAAAAAAAACATTTGAGCGGAAGTTGAAATTTCTGTCTATAATATAATCCCGACTCAATAATTCACACAAAAGTCAAAAATTCTGATAAGTGATTTGTATCAAGTCACAATTTTTAAAACTTTTTTTTATATGGTAAGATAAACGTAAATCTGTCAAAACAACAACCTCAATTTTGAATCACAGAAAAATTTTTGTAGACATGAAAACAGTTTGATTTAGACATTTTTGCAGACTTTTAAACTGGCTACTTTTGAAGGGTCTTTTCTATACCATATGAAAATTGTCGATTGTTTAGGCTCAATTAAATAAAGAATATATATGCAATATTTTTTGTAAAATTATGGCAGTTTAAAACAAGCCAATTTGGTTAGTTTGGAACAATCAGCGCGCGCTCTATTTCATTCTTTTATTGTTCCGACTTTCGATACGAAAGTAACGGAATATTTGTGCTCGGGGTGGGTTTTTTTTTCTTCAGACAAATTTCGACTTTTTAACTAGCCATTTTTGACGGAATCTTTTTATATCATTCAAAAGGTATTGTTGTCCTGAGCTTAAATTTGAAAAGATATTTCACCTGTGATCATTTTTCTTAAAGTTATGAGGGTTTAAATATTTCCATTTTTGCCATTTTGACCAATTTGGGACAATTAACGCGCGATATAATTCGCGCTATTAACGCGTAAGCGGAGATTTAATCCGTCTTATAAATCGTTCCAAATTGGTTGAACGAAGCTTATTTGCCATAATTGATGTGTTACAAGGAACGAAAACTATCTTTTTGTACGATATATGGCGTGTGGGGGATGATTTTCATAAAAAATTTCAAATTTTAGAAAAAAAAATTTCATTTTATTTTATTTCATATAATGTTTTTATGTTATTACTGCTGCTCCATAAACCTTCAAAAGCAGTCGGAACTATCAGGGCTTCGCCCTGATACGAGCAATCTTGTTTACTTCGAAGTTGAATCAATTTTTGAATTTTGTAAAGTATCACTTGTTCGTTGGGCCTAAAGAAGTAGCATAAAGGTAAAGTTTTTCCCTGATTTGAGCAGTCTTGTTTTAATAACAATCTGTAAAGGCAATGCTTTACTTGAAAGCTACTTTATTTGCGAGGCGACATTAAACAGGCGACAATTCGTAACCAGCAACAAATCGAATCGACAGATTAACAAAATGTCGCAAAGTCAGTTTTTAGGTGGACGCGTTCCGAATCAATTTCAATTTTCTTGTTTTTCTTCTTGAGAATTTTCTGTCCTTTTTAGTAGAAATCAAAACGTTGGATAAATAAATCAAGGCGTTGGATTGGATCATTGTTGTTTGTCTGGTCACTAATAAAACCCCGGGTTGACCTCCACAGACAAAACTGCTGAGCAAACAGTTTCAAAAACAAAGTCTATGAAAAATACTAATCACACAAATTTCATCCATTTTGCTAATTTGGTGTCATCGAACTTCAAAATTTTTTCTTCTTTTTTTTCGGCATAAAACTCGGTGTATAGTCATATATTAAAAAAATTTTAGGACTAGCTTTTTTTGATGGCGACAACAAAAATATTTGCTTCAAAAACGCCCCCTACAATTTTTTCAACAAACTTTGCACCTTTTTTGGGTGCAAAGTTTTTTTTGAGTGCATAACGTAGTCTTAGATTACAGAAAATTTCTTTTTTTCCAATACCCTGGATAATTTTTTTTTAAAAATGCTCAAAACGCCTAGTATAGTAAGTTTATGTATGCCTTGATCCAGGGGCGAATTTAGGGGGGGGGCGGGGGGAGCGACGCCCCTTCGCTCAGCGATTCGACCCCCTGCCGACCCAAAAGGTCCCCCCTTTGATACTTTAACGAAATCCAGTTTTGGCCGACCAACTTTAAATTTTTTCTAAAAGCGCCTTCGGCGCCAATATATACTAACTTTGAGGGTTGGCGCGCGCCGAAAAAACGCATTTTTTTGGTCAAAATTTTCCACAAATTGCCTAAAAACGCCTTTTTTTGCCTATTTTTTCAAAATGTTGCCTGCGGCGCAGAAAATTTGGCCAAAACAGGGACAAAACAGGGACAAAACAGCGCTTTGGGAAAGCTCGAAAAATCAATTTGGTCGACCTAGAAAAAGGGATAAAATCCCAGATCCCCCCTCGAGAAAATCCTAGATCCGCCCCTGTATGTATCTATGAAGATCTAAAAAAACTAATATAATTTAATAAAAACATACGTTCGATTTCAGCCATTTGCCTTATAGGCTCTTCTCCCTCTCCCCCCAGGGGCGGATTTAGGGGGGGGGGGGGTCGGGAGATGGATGGCTCTCCTGAGAGATTCGACACCCTGCCGACCCAAAGGGTCCCCCTTTGTACTATTTTGAGGTATCCATTTTTGGTGATGTACCCTAAAATTTTCCTATTGGCGCCAATATAGTATATAATGGCGCCAATATATACTAATTATGAGGGGGTGCGCGCGCCGAAAAAACGCGTTTTTTGGCTTGTTTTTTCAAAATTTTGCCTGCGGCGCAGAAATTCTGGCCAAAACAGCAAAACAGGGTCTTTTTGGTGCTCTGGCAGAGCTCGGAAAATCAATTTGGTCGACCTAAAACATTTTCGAATTTTTTTTTAAATCCCCCCCTCAAGAAAATCCTAGATCCGCTCCTGCCTTGATCAATGACTGTTTAACTCAAAATTTATTTTTTTGAAATAAACATCTTTGAAATTTTTTGCTAAATTCTATAAGATTGATAGTTTCATTTTATCGAATGTGTAAGACAGCTCTAAGACAATTCAGGTCGTTACAATGCATTGTAAATGCAAAACGGTCAAAGCTTTGGTGACACAAAATGTGAGTAAACCAAGGTTTTTGTCACTTGTATTCGGTTTGGAACACTGCCCCTAAATGTTGAGAAAAAATTAAATTTAATAAAATCAATTTTTGCGTTTATTGACAAATGCTATTCATACAATTTCAATGTATGGAAAATCATTTATCATAGACAATTTTCCATATATGAATGTTGTAGGAGTAGTATTTTGGGTCAACCCGGGACTTATGGGCTATTATTTACACAGCTACTGCAAAACACTTGGTGTCACCGTTTAGTTATTTATAACAACAATTTCTGTGTCTCTCTCTAGATCTGCCGCGCCTGAGTGAGTCCCCCCGCATAGTGGAGGTGGGGAAGACGAGTGTGCGAGTGAGGTGGAACAGGTGGAAACAGTTCTCAGACAGGGGGGATCCCCCTCTGATCGGATACATGGTCTACCAGGTGCACAGGAACACAGAGGGTGAGTCGATTACACTGCACATTCCTTTAGTAGGGCGATTCAACTTGCATGAAAACTGAAGCGCGTTGTATCCTAGCTGGTTAGTTAGGTTTTAGTGAAGCTTTTAGTCTACAGTAAGTCTTGATAAAGTCACGTTACTTTCAAATAATGAATACTATTTTTGGTACAAAGTAAATGGAGTTTAAGTTTTCCAACTATAATCATTTTTATTCAGTTAATAATGTCACGCTACGAATTTGGACAAATTTCGTAATAAATTAGGTAACAAAAATCTGAGCGTATGACTTTCGGTTGATTGAATTTTGAAGAAAAAAAAACAAGTTCGAAAAAACGGGATCTGCGAAATATCACATACAATTAATTAATTTAAGATTTTTCTGATCATTAAAAAGAAGAAGAAAAAGAAGCCATATAAAGCCTCATTTACGATCGCATCTTTGTTATCACATGTAAATTTGACTAAAATACTCGACAGTTTTCAGGGTTTCGATGTCTCATGTGTTTCAGTCCTGGTGGAGACACTGCCAGGAGACATGTCTGATCCGGAGGTGACAGTGGGGGGTCTGGACCCCTTCACCCCCTACTCCTTCTACATCAGACTCAGTCGCCCGGGGGTGAAGGGGGTGGGGGCTCCCTCCGTCCGTCTCAACATCACCACCAAATGCGACCGTCAGTTCAAACAAACTACAACGAGTTTTTTTGTATTTTGTTTTTTCCAAATTGGAAAAATATTTACATGAAACCAATCGAATGTTTTTTTTCTAAATCTAATTATGATCAGATTTATTCACGTGTATGCAAATAAGATCATAATTGCGTTTAAAACTTGCAAAGTTTCTCATAAAAACGTAAAATAGTCATGTGTAAAACATGAACGTTTTGTAACTTCTGCGGCTGAAAAGTTTTATTTTAATAACTGAAATATTGCATCGCGATTACATCTGCAATATTCGCACCAGTGGCCTCTGACTGAGAGGTTCTGATAATAAAAGTCTAATTGTGATAAATTGCGTTCTTTCTGTCCTTTCAATCGAGCATAAACAACTGTCACTAAATGAGATTCAACATCTTCATTCTTCATCATAAAGCTGAAAAACTAAAAAAAAACCTTTCAGTGCTTCGATTCTCGCCCTCAACCCTGAAGATCCTCTCCTCCTCCACTGACGAAGTGATGATCCAGTGGAACAGAGCCCCCTGCAATGAGGACCAAGTGTACATTAAGAGCTACAACTACCAGATAGCACTCAGCTCCTCATTCTCGCCCTCCCAGATGATAGACTCCAGTTAGTTATCCCACCCCAATCATTCAAAAATTATTAAAATTATCACAAACTGATGATGGTAGACTCCAGTTAGTTATACCCACCGACTATACAAAAACACTCAAAAGCATTACAAGTTAGGCTTGTGAAAATGGACCATTACCCAAAAAAGCCACGAATCGCCACTATTTGTGCTTAATGCTAAATTTTACTTAGCAGTTTCATTAGGCGATTATTGATTCCAAATAGTTGCATTACTTAAAACTAATCTAAAATGTTATATTGTTTTTGACAAAGATTAACAATGAGAATCATTGACAATTGCTCAGGCGTTTTTTGTGACGTTAACTCAAATAAGGTCATCAAAACAAGCCATAACAGAAAAATGTAAAAATTGTTTTCGTTTCTACCTTTTTTTTAGTATCAGAGTCCTTATAATTAATTCATTTTTCATCAATTGGACAATCATATGATTTTATGTTTACAGTCTTGTTGCCTGCCGTTTGCCTTCTCTATCCTTCAAATCGACTGCTAATTCTGCGTCTAAATTTCAATCATATAATTTTCAATTTTTAAATAAGAAAAAGCGTGAAAAACATGGAGTCCGCCCATAAAATCTGCCACGGTATGTTCCGACTTTCGAAGAAAGTGAGGAGTATATATCCTTATTTTTTGCAGATAATTTTCCAAAACGAACATTTGCTGAATGGTGGATCGATACGGTGATATTTGAGTTCTCAGCAGGGTCGCGCTCACCACTAGAATCTTCACTCCCTCAGAATTTTTAGCTGCTCTTGAATCCGTCTAACTAAATAGACTTCAAGTTGACTATGCTAGCTTATTTGTCGTATTAAATTCATATACAATTCAATTTTTAGCACTTAACAGCTCAAAGTCATGGTTTGGAAATACTTTTTTTGCAAAATCGTTCGAGAACAATTTAAGCAAGTCGGAAACTTCAGGGCTTTGCGCTGATATACGATCAACTTTGTTCAATAAAAACATATATTCTCTGCTCCATTGATCAAATTGAGCTAGCAATAAGGAAAAATCCAACTTTTCTTCTCGAAATAGGATTTAATTTTGAAAAATTATTGAGCTGCAGATGGAGGCACCATTGAAGTTTGTTGTTCCGACAATTGAAAATGGGGAGGAACATTGTATTCGGGTCTGTTTCAGTTTTTTCTGTTTTTCACACAAAATTAGGTACAAAAAATCATGATCGGACTGAGTTGAGTGATATAGCATATTAAAGCCCTTACAGTCGTGATTCGAGCCACATTTAAAAATTTCAAAAAAATTTTGCCAGTGTCGAGAAAACCGGTTTGAAGTTTTGATTTTTTTGCCGTTTTTTGAGCAAAATAAGCGAGCGAGCAGTCTTATTTTAATTGCTTAAAAACTTACCATAGCTTAATCTAAAAAGTAAAACTTAGTTTTACTACTTGGGTAATGTTAGTTTACTTTGAGCATATTAGTACATTTTTGGAATAAAATGTTTTCAAAAAATACAAACAACAAGACAGACATCAAACAGCTGAAAAAAACTACATTAGTTTGAAAAAGATTTGTTGTATTTTTTTAAGACTATGGTCGGAACTTTCGATGCTACTTGCACAGTAACCGGCTATCCTTGTCTTAACTACGCATCAGTCAACTGAAATACTTTGTTCCACATGATCGTTGCTAGAAAAACAATCACAGTAAAAGTTTGTGCGACCTCTGTGAAGTTCGCAAAGTTTGCAAAATATACGTATTATGCTTTTTGAGCCTGGGGGATACTACCATTTTTTAGGTGTTGAAACTGTTTCCTGTTTTGAAACTGTTTCCCAACTGTGAAAAGAGAAACAAAATAAACAAATCATTAAATTAACACATCTGATTAAAAATATAGCGTTGCATAACTGAAAAATGCATAAGAAAATTTCAGAACTAGAAAAAAAAAAGAATTTTGTACGACTAAAGCTAAAAAATGAATATGTAGCTGACTTTACAATTTCTAACAACAAATTCAATTCCAGCATTTTTTGGGATTTATTTTTATGTTTTAGACTCAAATATGCTCAAAAAGCATGCTCTGGCATGTTTAGCGGCCGAAAAGTATCGAAATTAATTCTACCTCACTATAATTACAAAAAATGAGCAAAAGTTTTTGTTTTTAAAAGTATTGAACAAAATGGTTCTATTTTTAAGTTATTTGTTGCTTTTGGTTCGCTTTAGAGTGAAAGTCTTGGATTTTTTTGAGACTCAAGTTTTGGATTTTTGCCGGAACGTTTTTCAGCTTAGTTTAAAATTTAATCACCTCACATAGTGCAAGCTACATATGTAGTGTTGCAATTGACGCAAAAAAACTAACACTCAACTTTTAGGTTTTAAAGTTGTTTTTAACTTAAGCTCGACATCAGATAAATTACTTTTAAACTTGATTCAAATTTCCTAAAATGGTTTAGTATAATTTTAACAAGCATAAATATGTCCAGATTTTGAATAAAAAAATTAAGTGAAGTTTTTTAGAGACAGATTTTTGGTTGCCTAATTGCATTGAGTTTTTACATGCTCTTGACATAATAGTTATCTTTCATATTTGCTCTGCTGATACAATTTTTTTATTCTTTTTTTATAAAATTCATAGAATTGATTTTGTGCGTTGATTTTTGGACAACAAAAAATTTTGTTGAATAAAGATTTTATTATGGATCCTATTCAATAAGTGGAGAAAAACCTAATAAAAAAGAGCTCAATAAAAGCTGAATTTTATAATCTAATTGCATGTAACGTAATTCGACCCCTAGATAAGAAGTCAGTTCCTGCCTCTCTATGGATAAGTTGCTTTTTTGAGACCATAGCATGCAGTTTCAGTTGCGCTGAACTCTCGATCCTCGCATAGTTTTTTGATAAGCTCGGGCTTCAAATCATCGAAAAATATTTTTTTGAGGTTAACAAGAGAGTTAATTTTTCTGGACTTAATGTCCAACGATGTAGTTTTAAATACTTCTTTTGAAATTAAAATCATGAAAATTTGAAAAAAAAAAGATAAAATCAACCGTATAAATTTTTATGTTAGCTGAAGTTGTTTTGTGCAGACTTGGCCGAATGTCAAGATACGACTTCGTTTTCCAACCAACTCAGACAAGTGGGAGTGTGTAAGTCAACCAACTAACTAAACACAACAATCGGCTAAGGGAACACAACTCGTTCTTTTATCTGTGCCTGCTTAACCCACCTGACATAGGTGTTATTGATTGAAGTTAATGAAACCAACCTGAAACTCGACTTTGTAATTGAAATCGGAGATATATTTTTCAATGTTATTATTTTAGATAAGTTGACACATCCAAGAAAATGTTTTGAACTGAATCATGGATGATCTGGATCAGGGGCGGATCTAGGATTTTCACGAGGGGGAATGTTGGAAAATTTTGTCGACCTTTTTTTTTAGGTCGACCAAATTGATTTTTGTAGCTCTCCCAAAGCACTGTTTTGTCCTGCGCCGTAGGCAAAATTTTGAAAAAACAGACCAAAAAAGGCATTTTTAGGCACTTTTTGGAAAATTTTGACCAAAAAATTGCATTTTTTTTGGCGCGCGTTTGCCCCTTAAAGCTAATATATATAGGCGCCCAAGGCGGCTTTAGAAAATTTTTAGGGTCCGTCGCCAAAAATGAATATCTCAAAATAGTACAAAGGGGGAACCCTTTGGGTCGGCAGGGGGTCGAATCCCTGAAGAGGAAACGTCCGCCCCCCCCCCTAAATCTGCCCCTGATCTGGATGTAAAATGTATGCTTTAGGTACTAACAAACTTTTGATTTGGACTGTTTTTTTATTGATTCTCTAACGCTAATATTTTGACAGTGCATTAAGCAATTGGTGCACTTACACGAGTGAAAAAAGTATATAACTGTTTGTTGGAACTTATCAAAAGTGTGCACGCGAATGTTTCATTTACGACAACAAACTTATAACAGCTAAAAGAGCAAAATCACAAAAACCTGCTGGTAATCTCTGCAAAGTTTGTACAACAATCTTCGAATGATTTAATCAAATATCGCATATTCTAATTTATTTAGACGTTAGGTTACCATGTCTAGTTGCAATTAAGGAGCTTCTACTAAAATCATATCATTCGACGTTCCGACTAAATTTAAATGTGCTTAAAATTGGTTGAATGCATAGGTTGAGCTTAACTAGCTTATTGGCCTTCTTAAATCGTGATGACCGTGTGAACTTTGATGACCTTTTGACCTTCGACCTTCATATAAATGACCTTAGATGTTTGACTTGTTATGTTTGACCTTTTGACCCCTTCTCCTCTAGGTTCATCTGACAGTGCCGAATTGAGACTGAGGAGTCTGCGTGCCTTCACCAAGTACTTCTTCCGAGTGAGGAGTGTGTTGAGCAGTCAACATGTGGGCCCTTGGAGTAGTGTACTGCCAATACTCACTTCACAAGCACGTAAGTTGAGTGACAGATAAGAAAAAAAACTATAGCAAATAAACAACCCAACCGAAAAGAGCTTCTTACAAACTGAAGTAAGTGATCGCAATTTTGACAAAAAGCAAAATTATTGTTTCTAATTTTTTTTTAAAAATAGAACAATCATGAAAAATTATGAGTGGTGTATGCACCTGAAAATCTAAAACTAGTAATATTTAAACATTGGCTAACGTTAGACACTCAGAATGCCAAATTAGGGTCAAAGTTTTAACCAAGCCGACAAAATTGTAAAGATTTTAAAAAAAGACAAAGGAATTAAAATAAATTAGTACGAATAGGGACAAATTCTATTGTAGTAACACTAATAATTTGCCCTTATTTATGTTTATTTTTCTCTTGTGACAGCATCGAGTGCCCCCCGTAACTTGGAAGTGGTGTGTTCCGGAGACACCATCATCAAACTCACGTGGCAGTCGCCGGCAGAGCCACGAGGCATTCTGTCCGAATACGAATTGAGATACCTTCCAGAACAGGTAGTGTAGGTTTTTTTAAAATCAGAATTTTGATTTAATCTATTCTTCAAGCATCCCCGGATATCGATTCAGTGTGGATGTATTTGCCTCAGTAACTAGCTACTGGCACTTCTTTTTATTGACCCCATTGGAAAATTTGAAAATCCCAACGAAACCAATTAATCTCTAAAACTACTCGTTTTAACGTCGGAAATAAAGTTTTTAATCATTACAAAATGCAATAATATTTAATTAACCAAAAAAACACCGTTCTCTGACGGATTAACTTGCTCAAGGTCAACGACATGGCATTAACTGAAACTGAATGTGAACAAGCCTCAAAATATCTGGCATAAATTAAAATTGTTTTATTGTTACACACATCAAATTAAGAACACATCAAAATTGAATTTAATTTGAATACTTAAATCGGTTAATGGTCAAATAGTTTTCTTTTGGTATGGATCCCATTTGAAATTTTGGACAGGTGGACGAGCACACGGAGTCAGTGTCGCACCTGTTGGGGGAGAGGGAGAACATGCAGTTGGTGGGGGCTAAGATAGACTCGAGGGACACTTGGGGACTGCAGATAGTGACTGCCTCGGTGGGGGAGGTGGAGGGGGGTCAGCAGAGTGAGAGTGGGGGCAACACACTAGACATCAGTGGACTGCCATCCAACACCTCTTTCTACTTCAGGGTCATTTATTATTTCTACCTCTTTCTACCTCCTTCATTTATTATTCCATATCACATAGATTGAGGAAAAAGAAGAAATCAATTCCACTCCCTCTTAAATCAGCCCCTGATAATCATTGGTTTCCAAGCATTGCTCTTCAAAACTTCGTTATTAAAGTGAAAGAGTGAGATATAGTAGTATCTCAAAACAGATTTTACATACTTTATGCTCTCTTAAGCTAACTAGTTTTTGGAGAGGGGACCAATTATTTACAGTTCTCAAAGGCGGTGTGACCCCGAGAAAATTTTTCATCCGGTTCCGACTTCCAGTGAATTATTTTCAAAGGTTTGTATACAATTTTGCAAGATTTTCTCAGAAGCGCGCGCAGAATGTTTCCTCCCCAGTGATCATATAGCAAAATTTTTTTCTTAAATTACAAAAAATTACTTTTTGCAAACAGTTTTTACAATCTTTGGGGTTGTTCGCAACAAAGATCCACCTCAGATTAGGAATTTTATGTTTCTTTTGTTTTTGTTTTTGTTTGTGACTTTCGGTAGTTTTTTTCAGGTGCGTGCTAAAAACGGTGCTGGTTGGGGCGAATGGTCAGATATTCTGAAGGCCGCATCCGTAATTGGTAAGTGAAACCATTTTCTATCTCTGGCATTGGTTTAATAAACGATGAAAGGTTCCACGAGTCAATTCAAAACAGCCGGAACTTCAAATCTCGTGAAGGTTTCCAGTGGGAATCGAAACAAAACGTATCGCGATGTATGTGAAACATATAACACCGCTTTTTATCAAATCAGTCAATAACAACGCTGTATTATATCAAAATTGAATATTGAGTATACTAATGACACAAACAATACTGGTTACCATTGGGACTCCAATCGCCAAAGGGAATCAATTATTTAAAAAAGCTGTTTGCTGAGCTCCATTTGCTATTCGCAGTTCCGTGTCCGGTGGTGCGTGGCCCTGCTCGAACAGCCAGACTGTACACTCCAGACGCGAGGATAGCAATCATATCTGCAGTGCTCGTCGGAATCATCATCACCCTCACCCTCATCATCGTCATCATCATCGCGTGAGTACACCCCCCCCCCCCTCCCCCCTCTCCCCCTCCCGACACACGCAAACAAACAAGCACATGTACAAACGGGCGAGGAAAAATGAAAAATAGACAGTAATTTGTCCCAAAATCCATGATGAATTAAATAATTGAATGCTTCCGCGAGATGACAGTGTTCTATGTCTCCCAATGAACCACAAAAAAAGGACAAAATTTGAAACCTAAACTACTCTAGCTTAAGCTTTCTGAAGATACCTCGCTTAGGCTCTTCTTCCGTTTCTCCCCCACTTGCCAGTTTCTGTGCTTCCAATTTTTAGTATTAGGAACAAATTAAAATTAACTATTATGAATACTTTCAGACTGTGCACCAAGCGTAGCAACTCCAGTCAGCATCAGCTGCAGCAGCAACAGCAGAAGAGACAGCAGCAGGCCAAGTACCACCAGATCCAACACCACCAGATGAACAATCACCACTTCAACCACCAGCCCCCACTCACCATCGACACTTCAAACCATCCCTACACCAAGAGTGCAAAAGGTAAGAGGGGCAAGGAAAACTTGATCGCGAGGGTTTTGGGCTAGGGTTTCTATTATATTTCGGCCGTCAAAAGTTACAAAACAAAAAACAGGCCCAAGCACTTTTTGGAAAATTTTGACCGAAAAAACTGGGTTTTTCCGGCAAATCAAAATTAGTATATATTGGCGCCTTTAGAAAATTTTTTTTAGGATCAGTCAACCAAAAATTGATACCTCAAAATATTAGAAATAGGGACTATAAACTTTAACAAAAAACACGAATAGTGAGCTTCGTTTCAGACGGTATTCCGAAGTGCGAGAAAGAACTGAACCCACACGGAACCATTCGACTCTGTCGCCACGACAACGAGACCGACTCCATCTACGGCACGATCAAAGAAAACACCGACGAGCACTCTCCGCCGAACCAAATCGAGAGCAACCATTCCAACGTACGACACGCGACTCTCCCGAACACCAACCGGGGCGTGCAAAATTACCCCAATAATCAAGGGGGATACTACCCAAACTCGGGTCAGGGGGTTGTGAATGACCCAATGCGGGCAGCGACTCTGAGTAACAACCACCGGATGTCGACCTTCGCCATTAGCCAACAGGGGGGTCAAAATTCAGTCTACCAGCAAATCAACCCGAACGCGGTTGTCATGAGTATGAACACAATGAACAAACCGAAAAGTCCTGCTGCATATAACAAGCAGGTAATCAAATTGTCCAAGAAAATTCACCACTGGTATGAAAAAAATTGTAGCAAGAGTTAAAAGTAAGATGGTACACCTATGATTGCTTCGGAGTTTAATTTTTGACTAATAATGAGAGGAAATTTATAAGTAATTTTCATCAAAAATTTAAAACCACCAAGATTGGTATCCTTTTTAAACTGTCTAGAACCGTTTTATATTTTATGTTTGAACAGCTCTATTTTTCATGAAAATCTATTTCTAGCTATGAGTTTTTACATAGCTGGTGGTGATTGGTTATCTTTGGCTAATGCTGAAATGTTTTCTAGCCAAACCTAACCGCACTGGGTTTCCATGGATAAAAATCGGTTGCATTTGAGTATCATTGTCATTGTCTACAAAAGTGAAAACCAATCATTTCTAATCAACAGAAAATGGATTTTGTTGCTATAGAAATTATTGCTATGAAAATCAATTATAATCGTAAGGCGACAATTGGTAACAGGTGACAATTTGTAACAGGCGAGGATTCGTAACAAGCGATAATTTGTAGCAGTAGATTAAGCGGGGAACACTGGTTCACGCGCAATTTTCCTCTCGTGCCGAATGTAAGCGCAGCGGAGCAAAGTGGGGCAAGCGTAGTCTACTTGCCTATGCCTTGTTACGAATTGCCGCTAATTGCGAAATGTCGCCCTACCAAATATAGTCGATCATTTTTCATTTCTATAGATGAAGACAATAAAACTCCAATACAATTAATTTTTTCTCTTTGCACTTTTAAACTAAAAGCCGTTTGCACTTTTAAACTAAAATTCGTGACCTGTTGTTGAAATTTTTTTAAGCAACTTTGATTTTCGTGATTAATTTTATGTTAATAATTTTGTTGCTTTCAACCTTATTTTTTTTCATTCAGGAAGGGATGGGCGAAGGGTGGTTGAAAATTGGAGGCGGACAACGTTTGTTTGTTTTTGTTTTTATAAGTTTGTTATACAAATTTTGAGAGGGAGTGCATGCACAAAAAGTTCAATTTTCAACAAAAACCTTCTGAAAAATGCCCAAAAATTGCATTTTCCATCCGTTTAAAAATTGCTTATAGAGGAGGATAATTTTTTGAGTATGCATGTATGCAGGGGCAGATTTAGGGGGGCGGGAGCGGACACCCTTTCCCTATAGGGATTCGGCCCCCTGCCGACCCAAATGGTCTCCCCTTTGTACTATTTTGAGATATCCATTTTTGGTGATGGCGCCAATATATAATAATTTTGAAGAGGGAGCGCGCGCCAAAAAAACGCAATTTGGCGTATTTTTGTGCTTAAAGTGCTTAAAAACGCCGTATTGGCCTATTTTTTCAAAATTTTGCCTGCTGCGCAGAAATTTTGGCCAAAACGATTTTTTTTTGAAAATCCGCTCCCCTCGCTTAAATCCTAGATCCTTCTCTGCATGTATGTATTTATGTAAGAATGAAAGTACTACATTGACAGTGACATGCATTGTTGGCAAAAATTTTCAAAAAATGGCTTGTTTGACCTGTATTTTCAAACGTTGACGAAGGGTAGGGGGTAAAGTGGCAAATGGGCGAATGGTGATAATCTAGTAAGGAATGGAATTGTTTTTCTATTTGAGAAGGCTTAGGTATAGAAACTGGGTCGGCGTAGTTCATTTTGCAAAATTTCTGCATTACCCAATTGATGAATGCAGAAATTCTTGCAAAATTTGCACGACGTGAAACAAAAAAAGTGGAAAAAAAATCCATTTTAATCGATTTGAAATAGATTATAATTGATTTTAAATGTGATAAAACAATGGATTTTAATGAATTTTCTATTTCACCTTGTTGTCTGAGGGCAACATGGGAATCGATTATATTGTTATTATTTTAGACCACAAAAGTCCATTATTACTGATATTTCCTTCACTTTCATCTGATATGCGGTTAGTTTTGTTACATGAATAAATCTAAACTTGTATTAAACCACAGTCATTTGGTTCGAGAAACAAGCTCAAGTCACTGAAGTTTGATTCCAAAAACAGTCCATGACGTTACTTGAGTGAGATGGGGGGGGAGGGAGGTTGTTCACTTGGCTTGGTCCCAAAATATTTGAGAAACTTTTCAAGGATGGTGCTTGGGTGATGCCAGATGGGCAGGTGCAGTTAAGAGTGAACAACAAGACAAGTCCCCTCTACGAAACATGCAACAACAACAACAACAATAATAACACAAACAACAACAGCCACCTTACAGAAGATGATCAACACACTGCCTCACAGGTTTGACCGGCTGCTGCTTTTAGTGCATGAATAGAACTGTTAGTTTAAGTGTTTAAGTAGAGAGTAGAGGTAACAACTGTTGTAGAGTTGTTATGCCAAATGGCGTAATTAATGTAGGTGTTTGAGTTGATTGCGACTGAAAACCAATTGACATCATATTTCGCGCGGCCCTATTGGAGACTTAATTTTAGATAAAATGGATCTCTTTAACTACTTCCTTCCCCTATAGCAAAGAGGGGGGATTTGCTACTATGTGCAAAATTTTTATTAACGGTTCAACTAGTTCTTTTAGTGGGCATTGTTAATAGGCATAGCATAGAAGGGGAGATCCGACAAAAGTTTTGCAGTCCATACATACAAATGATTGAAACACACAAGATTGAAAATCATTTTAAACGGGTATATAAAACAGACTTTTGATTTTCAAATGTCTTTGGAGAACAGAAACATGAAGAAAAAATGAGGAGAAAATTTTGTCATCGATTTGCTGAAAAAGACCAAAAAGTTTGAACAAGTACAAATTTGAGACTTTCAGAGCTTCCTAGAAGTGTGCTAATGATCTTTCTATCTTTCTATCGTTGACTGTTTTCCGCTCAATTTCAGCATGATGATTCTAATACTTCCTCAATACAGTCCGAACCAATTGGGGTGGTCGCAAACGGGGTTTCGTCCCCTCCACTCCAAAACAACAACAACCACAACAACAACAACCACAACAACAACAACAACAACAACAACAACAACAACAGCAACGCCAGCCACAACAACCAGTCCAACTACCACCCCTACGCCACTATAAACCCCAAGGGAGGAGGTAAGTTAAAGCACGGTTCCCTCATGTCAGACGGACCGGTTGAACCCGCCCGAATACTATTTTAGCCAATCGGAGTTCACTATTCAAAAAATAGCGGAGAAATTGGTCAATTTGGATAGTTTAAATGGCGTTGATTGTTTGAAAGTTTCCGCGCATTTGAAACTTCTGTGATGAGAATAATCTCCAAATAAGTTATCCTCATGGCACGTGGCTAATTCTTGTGACCGAGGATCCGAATGGCAGAAATTTTTCAGCCAATCGAATTCTTTGATTTTGTTCAGAGCGCAGAGTATTTTTTTGTGGTCCAGACTAATTTTTGAATGCTCAAAACTGATTGGCTATTATAAACATATTTTTCTTTTCTGTCATGAGTCCTTTCTGTCGCGCTGGATGACGCAATAATTACACTGATTGCTTGAGATGTTGTAATCATATTAGATAATTTCACCCGGGTTGAGAAACTCGGTTAATTCTGAAGCAAAAAAGTGGTCATGACATTAGTCATGATCGGAAGTGATTCGATTTCCGAAAAAATATTTATTTAAAAATTGCATCACTTCCGAGGATCGCATAACTGGTCGGAACTATTCCATTTTTCAGAGTAAAGACACAAAGTTTATAAAAAATTACCCCCCATGAATCTAATTCAATCGCCTTATACCGAAACAGAACAACAGAAAACATTTCGATAATTTTCTTTTTGAATTCCTTGACTTCAAATGTTGTGGCTGAATCATTGTGTATTACAAGAAAACGAACTTTGAGAAAAAGTAAAAAACAAACCACGTTAAATTTTTATCATATGAAAAGTTTTTACAAACTTTACAATTATGGTACGAATACGCGTACGCTTTTTCCTGCAGAATGATAATTCATGCTGCAAAAGCTAAATATGTAACACTTTTGGATCAATTTAAAATGAGTTCATCAACCCAGGTAGATCTTCACTGATAGTGATGCTTTTGTTTTTGCACAAAGCTCATGATTTGGATGTTTTTCATTGAAAGCAAACGATTAAAATTATTTAAACTTCAAAAAGTTTTTACTTTTATTTGAACATCTCAGCGTTTCGCGATATGTAAAAACTTCTTGATTAATGCTTAATCACTGCCAGTTTGCATTTTGATATTTATTTATATAACTCGATGTCATATCAATGCGGCTGTAATCATTTCCTGGCTGATTGTTTTGCTCTATCATCATAGTTCTTACTCTGTTCAAGTGTACGATCAAGTTTCGAACCTTTTATGACTGAGGAGAAGACAATGAAGGCCGGCCTCCCCTTTGCTACTATTTTAGGACATTCGTTTTTAGTCAACTGACTCTACAATTCTTCTAAAGGCCATTTGGCGCCAAAAAATACATACTTTAATGGGCCTAAAAACGCATCTTTTTGGTGAAAACCTTCCAAAATTTGCATTAAAAAAACGCTTTTTTTTTGGCCTGTTTCTTCAAAAACATTGCCTGTGATTCCTACCGACTCAAAGACTCCCTTTTTGTACTTTTTTGAGATAACATTTTTGGCTGACGGACCCTAAAAATTTTTCTAAAGAGGCCTTTGGCGCAATGTATACTAATTTGATTGGTGAGCGCTCGCCGAAAAAACGCAATTTTTTGGTCAAATTTACCAAAATGTGCCTAAAACGCCCTCTTTGCATTTTTTTGAAAATTTATCTGTGGCAGAAAAAATTTGGTCGAGAAGGGAGGGGTCTTTATATTTTTTATAGTAATTTGGGATAGCTCTAAAAAACAATTTGGACGACCTAATAAAATGTTTTTAAAAACGCGTCTTTTCTCCGGACAAATTTTCGAGAAAATTTTCGACATTTTTCGAAAATCGGCGCCCTCTCAAGAAAATTCTGAATTCTGCTCAAAAATGTTTCAAAATTGAGACACGATGTTTATTGGTCCAAGTGATACCTTACCAGACGAGAAACATATTATTTTTTCTTAACATAGCTTGCGAAAAGAAACTTTCCAAAAAATGATTTAAACTTTTTCAAACTTTTTTGTAAGTTTCTTTGTTTTTTTTAAACAGATATACTTTATAGACGCTGAAAGCTGACAGACATTTGAAACTCAACGTATTTTGCCTGATATCACTTTTTTTATTTTCTTATTCTGGTTCAGAGTTGGTAATGTACGTCATTTTGAATCGAATTACACTTCCGTCCAGCAAACCAGCCAATATTTTTGTAGTGGAAGTTTTCTTGTTAGTTTGAATATATATTTTATTTACCATTTATTTCTTCATGCCATGCATACAATTATGATTTGAATTGTCCGGAAAAAACGCATGAATTTTACACCAATTTTTCTCAAATTGTTTTGATTTTAGACAAAAAGTGATGTGGACAAACGTTGCTTAGAATTTTAGCAGAATTATTATGGTGCAAACGTGCAATTCTTTTTTGCCAAATTTTGGGCACAAAATTCTACCGCAAAAACGCAAAGTTTTTATACCATTTTTAGTCAATTAAAAATTACACCAAAACTTCGAAATCAATTATTGCCAAAATTATATCAAAGTGAGCCTATTCCGAGGTCCAACCAAGTTTAGTAAGAGTATATTCTCCAAAAAATTGCGCCAAAAGATTTTTGAAAAATTTTCAAATAAAATATTGGTTTTTATATTAAAAAAATGATTTTTTTTTTGCTTCAAACAAAAATGAAATAACTTCAAATGTTTCGGTGAGTATGCTTTTCTTAAAATTTGTTGGGCCTCGTAAACGCTCACTTTGACTTGCGTTTGACAGAGTATGACAATAATAGATTTTGTAGTTTCGGTAAAAATTTTAATTGACAGAAAAGTATAAAATAAACCCTTTTTGGCTAATTTTTAGGGCCCAATTTTTGCAAAAAAGCACCATGCATCATAATTGTTCTGCTGATATTTTAACCAAGTTTTCTTCATCACTTTTTGTATAAAGTGACCCCAGTTTGAGAAAAACGCGTTTTAATTTTCCAGTTTCATGCATTTTGTCTGGATACTTTAAATCACTACTGTAACTGCAGCTTCAGAAGATCTTATAAAGAAATCATTTACTGCATCTTTCATGAGAACTAATTCCTCAATTAATTAGACGACAGACACTAAAACTACTTTGAGAAATTTCATTGAAAAAAATGTTATTTACTTTGTTATTTGACAGGGCACTAAAACTACTTTGAGACATTTCAATGAAAAGTCTTTTTTACATTGTTATTAGAGTTATAAAATTGTGTTATGTTAAAACTGGCAAAATTAAAAATAAATTTTGAAAAAAATTATGCTTTTGGATGAAAGTCATTTGAGCTATTTACATAAAATTTACGAGCTCAAAATATGATTTTTGATTGCGCAATGTTTCAGTTATCTGGACATCATGCTTTCAAAACCTCGCTTAAGCTCGCGTATCAACACCACAATTTTTTTCAAATTTAAATTTAAGTATTTTAAACTGTTTAGAGCGTAAAAGGTTTTCTTAATGCTCCGAAAAAATTGTTTCGCCTTAAAATGTTTTTCAGTCTCGGCCCCAGTGAAAATAAATCAAAAATATAGTGGGAGAAATAGATTTAAATCTACATTTCGAAAAATTTTATTAAAGTATTGAAAAATTCTAACTAAGTATGTAAAACTCTAAATACAATTAAGCTAAAGATAAAAAGGAATACTAAAAATGTGTGAGCTAAAATGTCTGTTCCAAATCTCAGACGAACAGTGATTGATCGACGGTTGGTCGATTCATTATAACGATTGACAGATATCAAATCAATACCGAAGGCCAAAAGTATAATGTCATAAAACAAATCACAACAAATTTCATTGCGCCTTAAACTCTCTTTTTACATCACAGCGTATCTGAAGTCATATGACTTGCACAGCAACAAATTATTGTTCAGACATTCGAATAAAGTGAGAAATGTACATGCTTGACGTGATTTTTGTTTGACGTGATCAGTTCAGTTTTTGAAAAAAAAACAACGTTCAACGTGGGGATATAACCTTGAACATACGAGTTTCCGAGCGGGTTTGCTATAGGATCTTAATGAGATTTAAATGCTCTTTTAAAACTTTAGAGGTTTTATCTACGATGCTCGAAGCGTAACACGGAACAAAATCAGGCAGACTAATCGGCCATAAAACTTTTCGAAGAATTTTTGTACATTAAGTTGTAACGTTAAGTTTAAATTTGATCAAGAATAATATATAATAGTTTTCTTATATTGCTAGTGTAATGTTTATGAGGTCGGACTGATGAGTAGTTCATCGTTTTATCAATTCTTTCTACTAACTTTGTCTGAAAAAAAACAATATTTTAACCGCTTTTCTCGATACCAAAGAGAATTTTCTTAATTTCTCATCGCATTCAAAATCACGACTGAATGAACTTTTGTTTAATATGTCACCAGCTATTGATATAATTTGCATTAATCACTTAAAGAAGCCTTTGGGCGTGGAAGAGGTCGAACTCATGAACAGGGGATATGGCGCCTCCGACATCTAATGAAATTTTTATATAAAAACTGTATCGGAAATGCAAGTAAAGTTATGCGCGCTTGCTTTTCCAATTGAATTTTTGATTTAAAAACTGAATACATTTTAGAACTTGCAAATGTGATCGTGAATAAGTTGTTGAACTTGGACTGTTTTTGTATTTAGTTCAGCCTGCGAATGAGTATGCACTTGTTAATGCATCCCCGAGAATGCTTCCCTACACCAGCAGAACAGCGGCAACACTGGGCAACTCCGCCTTGATTCTGCCCCTGTCCTCGAAGGAATCAGGGGCAGGGGTGAATGGCGGGGGCTCAGTGTTATTGACTCGCCAAAATGACTCACCGCGCTACTTTTACTCCCCGTCGCACGCTAGTGCAGCGGGAGAGGTCCCGCGCTATACCTCATCTAGTTTTCACTTCCCCTCGTTGTCGCATGTGGAACATAATCTAAGCGACGAGGCTAGTAGTAACTGCAGCAGTACATTAACAGATCAACAGCAACATAAACAATCACCCCCGCCGCTCATCGCCGAACACCAGCCCGAATCTTCTTCGGCCGTCTCGTCAGCCAATAGGAATGCAGCAATGATACCGACAAGTGCCGCGGCATTATATCACACGTACACATCATCGCCGAACAAATTCCGACAACCGGGTGGACATTTTAGCCAGTCAGATTGCGGCGATCAGGTAGCCAATCAGAGTTACCCAAATGAGGACTCTCGCGGAACGCCAAGTGGGACACCGATTGCACCAGTGAAACATCTCAGCCGAGAGGGTACGATTGAAGATACGGATGATTTAAACACGAGTTCGGCTGGTGTGTATTGCAATGATAACAGTAGTTCGGCTAATTCGCCCTCCTCGCACATGCATGATCCGAGTGCATGTTCGTGTTTGCAGTCCCCGTGGCGCTACAGACAGGACCACGTCAGCCACGAAGGTTTGTGATCGCACCACTTAGACGACCGACAATGTCCACAAAGTCAAACTTAATTTTGGAGAGCCTGAAAAATCCATAATCACTCTTGTAACTTAGACTAAAAAACCCAACTATTTGTGAAAACTTTCCACATATGTTGAAGATGTGTCTAAACCAACCTTCGCACATGCATTTTCCATTTAGTTGTATTTTCATTAGGAGGGCAAGTGTTTGCCTTATTTTTTTGTGATTTCTTTCATTTTATTTCTGATCTTATTTTTCTAAGTTCTAACACTAATGGATAAAATCATGGCGGCCATTTTTCCTTGTGTTTGCGGCATCATTGCTGAAATCATTACATTGGAAGAAAATTAAAGCGTCATGTCTTTCTTATTTCGTGGCTGAAAATTCAATAAAATCAACCACTCTTTTAAGTTTTAATGAATTAATTCCATTTTTTCTTCTCAAAAAGGAAAGATAGTTTGCCATCTTTCTTTCCAGGAACTCAATCCCTTCCCAAAAAACACCTATGGTACTTGATAACGGCATCCAATTCGGCCTATAAACTTTAAAACTTTTTCAAGTGCATCTTTGGGTCGAATTGAAACATCTTGAGAACGCAACAATCAAAATGAATTTTTAGTCAAAACTTTTGCAAAATTTCCGGAAAATTTTAATTTTTGGCCAATTACTGAAAGAGCGCAGACAACAGTAATTATGATGTTATGATGCAGACAATAGTAATGATTGTTTTACATTTGTTCTTTAATAGAGCTCGGATTATCAGTTTGGCTAAAAAACCACTTTTTTCTGAAAATGAAACAATCAGTTTCTGGAAGGGGATGGGGTTTTGATTGTTTTAATAGCTCCATTCCGTTCAATATCTTCATCTGCTGTGCATTATATGATCACTAACAAGTCCTTGGGTATTTCAGCAGTTGTGCGAGGAGGCGGCATTGCTTGAACGAGACAAATCCACAGACCTCTGAGTAGGAATAGCCGAGAATGAACAAATGAATGAATGAATAACTAAACTTTTCACACCATTCCACCCATCAATCAAACTCATTCACTCTTATTCACCTGACTGTTATGCAATCATGCTACTCTCATTCAGTTGTGAATCATCACTCTTCTTCACCGTCATTCAACAACGTCGAAAAAAAATAAATCTAATTCATTTTTAGTAATTATACAGAAAAGCGATTTCAAAATACAATTGTGTTGTATCATGCGCGGCATTTATTTAAAAAAATAGTTAAATGAAATAAACTCAGATATCAATTTTCGGTTATTTTTAGTTTTTTTATTCGGTTCCCCTTTTTTTGTTTTTATCAAGTCAATTTTTAAACTTACGAAAAATGAATTGAATTGGCATGCATTTCGCTACGGAAAAGATCGTCCTTAATCACAATTTCGAAATGACCGAAAAGTTCTTGAATAATCAACTCCCCATACTATACTTTGGTGTTGTTTTTGAAGCAAAAAGTTTTAGATTACAGTTATTTATTTGTAAATTTTGCTTTTTATGTTAATTCGTATTCAATTTAGAATCCATTACCAAATCATGAATAAACTTCATCTGAAGTGATTTTAAGTCATTTATAATTAAGTTTGAGAGTTAAAGAGTTTTTATGTTCAAGTCTGGCCGATGCAAAATATTGTCTTCTCGTTTGACTAGTCTAACAAACACTTCGTAGAACACAACGTCAAATAACCGAGCAGTGTTGAACCATGGAATATACAGGGTCCAATCACTGGCCAAAAAAGAGGTCTAATTTCTAGTTGACAGGATCAAATCTCAGATCAATCAGGGTCAAATCATACTTCAAACGGCTTAATTGGGGTTTAGAAACTTAGACGACGAGCAAATTAGACGATCAGAAAATAACGGAATTTAGACAATAACTTGCGTGCAAATTGCGTGAATTTTGTTTACAGACCTAAATTAACTTTTGGCTGAGTAAATACTGGTTGTCTGTAAATTCCGTTTCTTTACGGTCGTCTAATTTGTTTGTCGTCTAATTTCCTAGGCCCCGGCCTAGTTATTACTGTTTTTCTAAATTTAACTGTTGATAAAAAGTGAGCAAAAAACTTTGCTCAAATTGTAACCTTCCCTTGAGAGCTGCAGTGAGTTGTTTACAGAAACCATTGGTGTCAACCCCATTTCAGTTAAAATTCAAGTTCGGTAAAATTAGAGCAAAACAAAGCAAAGTTTGATAAATTTGTCTGCTTCTGGCGCGCAGATTGGAATGCCAATTTTCTTGTAAAAACTAACGATGCAAAGTTTTTATCGATGATATTTGGTACCTGTATTTCGTTCAAAAGATGACATTTCAATTTTGATTTTCCATACTAAAGTTGAAGTTGAATAGTAGCAATCGGATTCAGTAAAAGTTGAACCATTTCTGATTCCACGCATGAATAATTTTTTTTCTAAATGTTTTTGTAATCCGCTAATTTCAAAAAAGTCGCAAAATTCATCACAACATTTTTGATCAATCTCTAAAATTGGTTAGTGAGAGTTTGCGAAGTGTCCATGTGAGACTTGAAAAAACTATTAGAAGATTGCTCGTATCAGGGCAAAGCTCTGAATGTTACGACTGCTTTTTATTGGTTGCGATTAATTCAGGTTAGGTGATATTATTCGAAAAGTGGCCGTTATATAAAAAGACTGCTCGTATCAGGGCGAGGCCCTGATTGTTCCGACTGCCTTTTAAGGTCTATGTAGCACTAATAACACGAAAAAATAAATGTAAAAAAAAAATTTTAATTTGACATTTTTGCTGAAAGCATCCCCCACTCGCCATGTAAAATACAAAGTGATAGATTTTGCTCCTAGTACCAAATCAATTATGGCAAATATGCTTCCTTCAACCAATTTGGAACGATTTCTAAGACGAATTAAATCTCATTTAATCGCGCGTTAACTGTCCCAAATTGGCCAAAATGGCAATCTTTAAACCCCCATAACTATACAAAAAACGATCACAGGTAAAATATTTTTTCACATTTAAGCTATGGACAACAATAGTTTTTTAGTTATATATTTAAAAAATCCCGTCAAAATGGCTAGATACAGAGTCGAAATTTGTCTGAAGAAAAAAAAACACCCCGAGCACAAATATTTCGTTACTTTCGTTACGAAAGTCGGAACAATAAATCAAACTGAACTAAAGACTCATCTGTCCGAGAAATTTGAACAAAAATCAGGACAATCTTCGACCAACAAGATCCAATTGAGTATCGGTTTGATTAAAGCGTGTTACTCTAGTGAACGAAATTAAGCGAAAATAGAATTTTTAGTCTTTAGATGTCTATTTGCTGGACACATCCCTTTGGATTTTGAACATTCCTATATAGACCGCGAACAAAACATTTTCAGAAACTATGTACGCACAAAGCAATAATTAATTTAAAACTTAATAGGTTAATCTAGCTTTAAAATGACAATTTTTGCCTTCTGTATCAAGTTTTGGGTATTGTTTGTAGAAATAGTCAGCTTAAGCAAAGTTATCACATTGAACAGTTAAATTTTCTGGCTGAGAAAGTTTCACTTTTCGAAAAAAGTTTTTTTTTAGATTTTGATTGTTCGAAAAACAGTTGACTCCGCCAATTGAATTTCTACAGGATGTAGAAAATGGTGTTTTTAGACCCGGAATAAACTTTCATAGGCAGAAGCTGACAGAATTTATAACTGAGAAAATTTTTTCTGGGTGGATGTATCAATTTGATTGAAATTGGAAATTTGTTGTCTTAAGTGGTTCTTGAAAACAAGCAACTTATAATTGGCGTAGAGCAAAAAAAATCTCATTTTGGAATCAATGCGGCGGGTGAAGAATTAATTACATAAGTGAAGTGCTCGTTTGCCATTATTGTTGCCGTTGATAAAAAAAAGACGAATGTTTGGTAGATCTTCGACTAAATTTAGAATCAGATGTCAAAATTAACTGCAAAAGATATGTTGTATAATTTCTGTTGTAAAAATTTATGTTGTAAAATTTTCCAGTTTAACCAAAAACTGCGACATTGATACAAGAATTCCTATTATAGCAAAAGTGCTGATAAATTCATAGAAAACAAAACATTGTGAATTTTTTTTAGCATTTAAGCAGTATGTTATTTTTTAGGATAATCCGATTGGTATGAATTTGTATGACCAGATTTTCCAAAAAATGTTTGAGACGTTTGAATTTAGCTTTATAATAATCATAATAATAATAATAATGGGATTTAGAGACTAAAGTCTCGACTGACTTTGCATTTGTCTTTGCATTTGTCCAAAAAGAATAATTACCATGCATTTCATCGAGATAGAAAAACCCATTGAACAATTTGAAAAATTTTAATATAAGACCTGCAGTTAGAAATTCGTCATTTAAATTAATGCATTGAATTTCACACAGAAATAAAAAACTGAAAATGGGCTTTTGTAACTTGTTTTTGTGACAATTTCAAGTTTATCTTATCATATAAAAAACGAATTCTTTCCTCGCACATAAAATTCATTACGTTTTTTCTTTTTTTATGGGTTAAACTTTGTTCTTTTTTCCTCGAAATAATTTTTCTTATAAATCGGTAAAAAAAAGAAGTTGATTCTCTTAATGAATAAATATTTTGGAGCAGCTGCACACTTAGTGTAGTGGTAAAGCGAATGCTTGAAGTTCGAAATAACTTGCCTTTAAGTCCTCTGTTCCGGTCTACTGAGTGCTTCAGCTAAATCAAGAAACAACCTCAAAATCGTTTCGTAGTATTCAAAATGGTTCACAAAAGAAAGGAAAACGTTGTTAAAAAAGGACTTCAAAAACAGTGCCTTCTGTGATATCATACCCGAATTTTTCATTGTTACAGAAAACAGCAGCTGTAATAAACATTTTATTTTAAGCGTTTGAAAAAGGCAACGTAAACGATTAAGCACAATTAATATCGTTATATAAACGTCATAATAAACGCCGTCTGAAACGGAAGCGACTGACAGACACATGGTCCATTGTCGTGATAGAAAACCATAGAACTCCATATCAAGGTGAACTGGATATCACATCAGTGCTGAGGTATGCCATGGTGCCCTAAATGAGCGCGACCGAATAACTGGAACGACTTAGCACCAGAGCTCACAAGAAACTTAGCGCGACCGAGAATTCTGGCGCAATATTGCGGCCCTGATTTTGAACGACTGCGAAATTCTTTGAGTGCGACCCAACTTCGCGCGACCCACAAAGATAAATCAAGCTTTTGAGCAACTGAAAGTCTTCGGTGGGACTTTGCGCAACGGAAAAAGAAGCAAACGAACCAAAAGAAGCGAAGCGAGTCAAACCAAACGAAATAAAAGCTGAAAAAAGTAATCTGCAATTGTATCAAGACTCGACAGGTAGAATTAACAGATTCAGGGAAAAAAACGTCTCAATTTGTCACAGATAGGTGAGTTGAATGGTGGAACATTAAATCGACGACTTCGAAGACCAATTTGGATGCAGTTTTTGGCAAAGTTTTGTGCTAGTAGACTTTATGTCAGGAAAAAAATACCACATCAAAAGCTTGCATGACTAAAAATACCGTACCAAAAGAGCCCATGTAAAAAACGCCTATTCCATAATATCCCATGCCAATTTAAAAAATCCCATGAACAAAAGCGATGATCGAAGTTTAAGCAGAAATAAATCTTGAGTGATGATACCTCAATTAGGTTCATGCTAATAATGAACATCGCAAATCTAAGATAACCCAATTCAAATCGGACTCATTTTTTGATTCAACATACTGCCAGCGTGTGTTTAATTTAGCGTTATTTTGATATTGAATAAATTATCATTATCGATACCAAAAAAAGTTGATCAACTATTAAATAAAAGGAAAATAATTTTACTCTTCTTAAAATGAATTAAGAAGAAAACTGTTAAAACCATTTTTTAAAGCTCAATTTTCAAGCTTCAAAAACTAGTTATGCTTGATAGGTGTAAGCAGAATAACCAAAAAAGGATTGTATCGAAAAGTTAAGCAGAAATAGCTTCTCATCGATATAGAGTAAACAGGAAGAGACATCATGAGGAAATAGCTGAATAAAAATTAGGAGATTTTTTTCTGTTGCTGTCTCATTTGCGATCGGTGAGCAGAAATTATTATTTAAGCAGGCATCATTTACAGAAAAAAAGTGAACGGTTCAAAAATAGATATTTGTTTAGTTGAAAATGATCTAATTTTTCTCCAATCGTATTGTGATTGCAACCAAAAGCAATAATTTTCGCTGGCATCCTGGAAATGCTCTTTCATGGTTTTACCTCTTTCAAGCCGTCAAGCGTGGCAATTAT